AAGGTTGGGATTAAAACTTAAATTCCAACTTTCTTACTGAGAATTTTGTGAGAAACACATTTTAATTGTCATCATCGGGTAATCAAAAGAAAGCGCCCAAGTCTTAGGGCCGGTCAAAATGGGGTGTCTACACTAGGCATGCAAATAAGACACAAGGAGTGGAGGCTAACCCCTCAAATTTTGGAATTCAATATGAGTTTTTTACCGCTGAAAAACCTCCAAAATTCAGTGGTTAAAAGGGCCAAAAAATTTGGTTTGAAAGTGATGAACAAAGGCACAAAATCTTTACAAGCAAAGAAGCAAGAAGGGTGAGCTACCCTTTAAACAAAAATGGCCTCAAACCAACACCTTTTAGTCATAAAAACAGAGCTTTTAAAGTTTTGAACCTGCCTCAAAAAGTTTGAAAGAATATAGAAAAACAAGTATCAAAAGCAAGCTAACAAGACTAGTATTCTACCTCTTGAAGCAAAGAAAACTTTTAGGCACAAGTTCAAGCCAAAACCGCCTTCAAGAGATCCAAGAAGGCCCAAGTAATCTCAACTCAAAGGTGAGAGGATTTGGTTTAGGAGATGTAGGCTAAAGTGTAGAGAAACTAAGCAAACACACACAAATTTGCAAGAAAGAGAGAGAGAAATCTAGAGATAGAAAATTTTTATGTCTCAAAATTTTCTAACCCCTACACATGAGAGAGAGGGGTCCTATATATAGAAAACATAAAATTTCCTCACAAACATCCAGCTATACATGTGTGGAAGATGCATGAATTTGTGCAAATGGCTGGCACAAAATAACACAAAATATCTGCAGGAAACACTGGTGGTCGACCGGCCATCAGTAATGGCCGACAAGGCATCATTGATGGCCGGCAGGGCACATCAATGGCCAGCAAGGGAGAAGTGGTGGCCGACAGCCTCCAAGGATGGCTAGCAGGCCATTTGAAACTTCATGTTGAAAAGACCTAGGCATGGTCCAAAGATGAGACAAAATGGATGCAGGGTTTGAAATGCTCAAAGCTATGGCATTCCACCGATGACTTCGAACATGGGGCGAGCAATCAAACTCGTCAACAGATGTACCTACAAGAACATCCAAGTCTTAAAGGGCCTTAAAAAATGGAGTGTCTACAGTTGCCCCTCTTTGACAGAATTTAGAGTCATGAAATGACATGAGTGAATGTCAAAGCCTAGAGATGACCCATTTTGACAACGCCGTAAGACTTGGACAAACAATCAAGACAGAAAACAAATGGTTGTGCCCGCAGGCTACCTACGTATCCCTTTGCAAGGAATCAAACCAGCATAGTACTGGAGCAAGATGCAAATGATATGCATGATGCAAGAACATAACTCATGATCATGCAATGAGATTGTGCAATAAAACATTTACATGCAAATGCAATGCAACAAAAATGCCTCATTTAAACAGACTGAAATAGGACACAGCAATCTCAGTTATGAAAAGAAGTAAACAAACATGCCACGTGTGGGAATTACGAGCAAAACCACATTTCATGTAAAAAGGATGTAAAAAAATTATGCAGGCTTAACTACGCGACATGCAGGAAATACGAAGAGCAACAAAATCATCGGGTGTACCCGAGATGTCAAACAAGATCCTAACGCGTCGTATGCGGAAGAAAATGAGGATGGTGTGAACACCGGGACGCACCTAAATGTTTTTAACCGAAGGACAATAACCGAAGGATTGATTGAACATTAGGACGTACTCAAATGTTTTTAATCGAAGGATGGTAACCGAAAGATGGTATGAACATCAGGATGCATGCAAATGTTTTTAACCGAAGGACGGTAACCAGACGATGGTATGAACATCAGGACGCACACAAATATTTGTAACCGAATGATGGGTAACCGAAGGATGGTATGAACATCAGGACGTACTCAAATATTTTTTAACAGAAGGACGGGAGACTGAAGGGTGGTCTGAACATCAGGACGCACTCAAATATTTTTAAATGAAGGAGGGGTAACCGAAGGATGGTACGAACATTAAGACGTACTCAAATGTTTTTAACCAAAGGATGGTAACCAAAGGGTTTATCCTAAAGCGTTGCACGCGAGAGACATGAGAGTAAAAGGATATGATTTGAAAGGCATGAATGATTTTACCTGGAACTCCTCTGAATGGACTGTACATACAATATTGTGCCTGTGTACAAAAGCATGCTATGAAATGACAGTGCATTTTCTGAGCATGAAAGTGTGAATGAAAGCATATTCTATGCAATAATAGAGAAGTGCATATTCTATGCAATAATGAGAAGTGTTCTATGCATGTCTAACGAATAAGAAATGCATATTCTATGCATGATAACAACTGAGATATAATGGCATGTTCTATGCGAACCAAACAATTTGAGAGCAAATTTTATGCATGATTGGCAACGGGAGCATTTTCTATGCAAGATTCAAAGGCAAATGCATATATTCCGTGCATGATTCAAGAACAAAAGCAATAAGCATGTTCTATACATAATGGAAGAGCAGAAGCACATTCTATGCAGCTAGAATAATAACATGTTCTATGCGACAGTATAAGTGGAATGCATGTTCCATGCAACAACAAAGAAACACATATTCTATGCAATAACAAAAGCATATTCATCAAAACCAATTCAAGAACAACTTGCAATTTACCTCTCGGAAAAGTTGCAATATGTTAAAAAGGATACACCTTGCTTATGTTAATGAGTGACAAACATCATGCACTGGAAATGCAGTTCTGAGCTTCCATAGAGGCATTCTGAACCAAACAATGAACAATCCATTCATTTCTTAGAATCCAAGGACACAAAATAGAGCTAGGGACATAGGGAAAACCCTTGGAAACCCACCGGCCACAAGAGGGGGCCACCGGCCACCTGCTGGCCACTGGTGTGCCTTGCTAGCCACCAGTGTACCTTGCCGGCCATCGATGGTGCCTTGCTGTCCATCGATGGCAGACCGAGGGTAAAAAGGTGATTTTGGCTTGGGCCTTCAAGTATAGGTCACCACACCTCGTTTCCTCACTTCCCTTTAACCGAAAATGCTCTCTCTCTCTCTCTCTCTCTCTCTCTCTCCTTAGGTGCTTTCCCTCTCTAGATCTGAGCCTTTTATGCGTTTTCCAACGCCTCACACAAACTTTATTTGCTAAATCCTCCTAGTTCTCTTCGCTTTGAACCGATTGGAATTTGATTTCGACGCTTCTTTCCTCATTTCCACCATTCTAGGCTCATTTCCCCCGAGTTTCTCTCGAGTTTTGTGCATTTTTTCCAACTTTGACTTTTTCCTTCTTTTTCTGTCTCTTAGGGTTGACTTTTTTCAAGTTTACCCTTTTTCTTCACTCTTCTTGTCACGCCCCAAACTCGCCCCTAAAAGTTCGAGCATGACCTATGCAGCTACAGACACATGACCTGATATACATAATATACGGGGCTTGAACGGAAGCATTTAATATTACAAAGTAACATAGAATAACATCCATTGAGCTAAAACTAACATGCCAGGATCACATACGTGAGAGCCATTTATCTATACACATACCCACACATATAAATGAGCGTATATCCGAACATTGGTAAAGAAAGGGGGTATATACATACATTTTAACCTTAAGTAAATAATTAAAGTGCAAGCCAAAATCTTAACAAAACTTCACATAAATGCATGGGCATGGTCTGGGAGTTTGGGCATACTGAGGTTGACAATTGAAGGGTGAGCATCAAGGGTTAAGACGGACTCCCAAAGTAATTACCTACAGAACAGACATAACACAAAGTGAGCGAAGCTCAGTGAATAATAGTATATAAATGACTCAATATTCAACTTAATCATAATACATATCAATGCGTATATAAATGCGGAGATCATATAATTAATTTGATTCTGTACTAATTTCAGAACGGCCTTAGGCCCAATCTTGAAACATAACGGCTTAAAGCCTTTGAATGGATTGGCGATAGCCCTTGAACATATTAACATTAAGCTTTTACACATGTTGGCATATAGCCCTTGAACATATGGCATGAAGCCCTTAAACATGTTGGCATATAGCCCTTGTACATATGGCATGAAGCCCTTGAACATATGGCATAAAGCCTTTGTACATATGGCATGAAGCCCTTGAAAAGTTGGCATCAAGCCCTTGAACATATGTATGGACTCAAGAGGTGGCTCGTACGGATTCTAGAGGTGACTCGCATTGCAGCACTTAGTTCCGTACAGTACTTTGTTCCATATTAGAAATCATTAGGTCTTAAAGACCGATCAATTCATATCATGTTATAACATAGTATAAACGGAACAGATAAATAGAAACATATTCATACATATTCTTACTTATGCTTGAATCAGAAACAGAAATCAGAGTTCATGCTTGATCATAACCCACCCGTACAAGACCGTCGGTGGTACCATCCGTACAAGACCGTCGATGGTAAAACATAATCCACCCGTACAAGACCGTCGGTGGTACCATCTGTACAAGACCGTCGATGGCAAAACATAACCCACCCGTACAAGACCGTCGGTGGCAAGAGATATCCTGTAACATACTTGAACCACGGTATTATTACCCCCGGGGCAAGGGCTATAAGACCACGGTATTATTACCCCCGGGTAAGGGCCTTGTGCTAAGGATGCCATGAATACTTTTACATATATGGATAATCATTCATTAATTCATAGCGTAACATATCATAAAATAGAGCATTTCTTGGTATATCATGTCATTACCGTGCGTATAACAAAATAGAATAATTCACATTCTTATGTGGGTCACATAATGATGTCAAACTTTTGCGTTCATGTCGTAGATTCTGAATAACTTTAAGTTCATATGTAACACAACAAAATAACTTCAAATTCATATGGATTCACATAACTTTCCAATTATTCTGATTCTTCGAAGATGAACACAAATTCTCTTTTTTCATTAAGAAATGACATGGTTCACTTCAGCTATTAATCAGTAACATACACCTTTGTTTAATCGTTCATATATGTTAACATGGTTGACCTGCAATTAACAGAGTAGTAATGGTAGCCATTGCATCATTCACATGAGTTAATGCAGTTAACTTAAGTTTAACAGAACGTTCTTGATAATTATTAACGAAAGGTAAACACATTTTACCGATTGAATGATTCCAGAGATACCGGAATACCATAGTTCCATAATGCTCATACGTTCTATTTGTTCGTCATGAATCACTATAGCTATCTTGCAAATAACAGAAAGTTAGTATTCATTGTCAACAGTAAACATAATGGACTGCTCAATAATGCCTCTAGATTTTCCAATCAACATATTGTTAACCTAATTACTTTCAAGGGACAGAATGTTAACAATGAGAATCATTAACAATACTTGAACGTGCGACTATAGTACTACTACTCACAGCGGTAGGTCTCTGATAGCGGTGGAACGATGTCCTCGTCTTGACCTACAAACACAATGCATATAACAGATTATGAGAATAAAACCAATCTATTTTTATTCTTCACTCAATAGCTATGGTGGTTCTAGACTCATTAGTCCTCCATAGGTTATAATCCATACCTCATAAGATAGGAGGAATCGATAGGAGAAAGGTTCAGACGAAGAAACGGTACAAACCGGTAAATAGAAAGTGAACAGTCGTCACTAATTTGGGTATAACTATTTTTTTATTTAGAATTTGGGAGTGAGACCACCACCATTGGAAACTATACTTCCGGGGCTTGATTTTAGGCTCAAGAATCACTCAAAACGGAGTCCGGATGCAAAAGATATGCTTGTTCAAAGTTGGCTGGACAGAGCTGTCTCCGCACGTGCGGGGAAACAGTGTCGCACGTGCGGCCCTGGACAGTTTGCAGTCCGAAAATGGATTAAAATTTGGGACTTCTCATTTTCAAAGTCAAACCTTAATTACATGTAAATCAAAGCCCAAAACCCTTTAATACATGACCAATTTCACATTATTATTCTCCATCAAATATCACAACCTCAAAATAAACAAATATAATGACTTTAATTCTTCAATTAACTAACTCTTAAGGAATCAAGGTTCAATTCATGAAAAGAGTTCATCTAAACTTATATCTATCAACCCCAACTCAATTAGGTGGTTTCTCTTCATTTGAGATCATGAATTTAAACTAGTAATAGATCAATCTTAAGGGGTTAAGTTGATTTCACATACCTAGAGCCAATCTCTTGAAGTAATTCCATCAATTTCCCCGTCTTTCCTCTTCATTCTCAAGCTCTTCCTTCCTTCTTCTCCTTGAGTTCTCTATCTCTCCCTCTCTCACGTGGCTCCCCCTTTCCTCTAGATTTTTTTTTTTATTCTAAGAGATGAGTCCATCCACTCATAAGGCACCCAAAATATAAGTATACACATACACACCAACATAACACAATAAAGAGAGCCAAACGTGGCCTTACGATTCGTACGAAATCAAATTTCAATTAAACTTCCCAGATAACTCTAAAAATTATGAGGATCATAAATATGTCCCCTGTTCTAATTTCGAAAGCCTCTAATGCCTTCAATTTGCAGTATAAAGTTAACTACCCAAACGTGCATTAACGGATCAGACAAATTAGATTTCCAATTAATTGTCCCAAATAGTTCCAAAAATTCCCATTAACATATCCTAGGACTCAATTTTGATTTCTGAACCCATATAGGTCGGTAATTTCAATCTTAAATCCGTAACTCAATAGATAATGCTTCAATTCCAAAAGATATAATTAAATTAAAACACCTCATCTCATAGTTAAATACCAATGATTTCTTATACGCATTTTGGGATCTTTACACTTCTCTCTCTTAGGGTTGATGTTTTTCAAGTTTACCCTTTTTCTTCACTTTTCTTCACTTTTCACCCATCTCGCACCTATTTTCAAATGGCAGACGATTTTCTCCATGATGGGGCCCCTCTCGACCTTTCCCTAGTAGACGTCAAGGCTGACATCGAGGCTGAGCCAGAGTTGTTACCGTTGAGTATACGACCTTTTAATCCAGCGAGGTGTCATCCTCAGACACACATATTGCCCACTACTGGAGGTATCAGATCTTTTACTGATTTTGTTGACGATGTGCCAGAGGACCTCCTGTTGAGGGAGCTAGAGTCTCATTTATCGGCCATCACCATTGAGGTACGAACTCTATTTCTATGCGCTTCTGCCCTTAATTGTTTACATTTCTTGTATTACCTTCATCTGACTGTATCTCATACACTACTTTGATTTGATTGCATCTTATGCACTGCCTTGATCTGATTGTATGTCATGCACTGCCTTGATCTGATTGCATCTCACACATTGCCTTTATCTAATTACTTCTCATGCATTGCCACAGGGTGAGTCTCGCGCCTTTAGGGGCTATAGTGCGACGACTGCTCAAGATTGGTATGACGAGCTCCCAGCTAGAGTTCGTGACATTGTTGACGAGGCAGGCTTCGGCCTCTTCTGCTCAAGCTTGACTTGGGTTACTGCGAGCCGTCCACTTTTTGGAGCGCTAGTGGAGAGATGGTAGGACACCACCAACTCTCTCCACCTTTCCACCTTAGGAGAGATGACGATGACTCCTTACGACTTTGCCATGATCACCGGCTTAGGCGTAAGGGGTGATCCGATTCCTCTCGATCCTGATATGGGGGAGTGGGAGGCAGCTTGGCTCGAGCTGCTTGGGGCACATCCACCGATATACCGGACAGGTGTGGTGTGATACACCTTGTTCGAGGAGCAGTTCAGGGGGACCAAGCCTGAGACGAGAGAGGAGATAGAGAAGTATGCTAGGGGATTCCTTATGTTCATCTTTAGTACCACCTTGTTTTCAAACAGGTAGAACACCGTGGGCCTGTATTTGCTGAGTGCCTTGGTGACTCTTCCTCGAGTTCAGTTTTATGATTGGGGTGGAGCTGACCTCACCACATTATACGGATATATGAGCTCTTCCTCCCATCTGAGAGGAAACTTGGTTGGAGGCTACTGGCGAGCCTGGGAGGTACACATCTCAGTCCTCTCTTTGCACTTTACATTTTCTGCTTAGCATATCTTGTTTTACATCCGTTCAACACATGTGCATTCTGCTTTGGACTTTCTGTATCTGTTCATATTGTAAGCTTTCTGCTTTGCACTTTCTGCATCTGTTCATACTATATTGATTACATACCTCTACATTCTCCTTGCAGCTATGGGTATATGCATACTTCCCGACTCTTGCCCCAAAGCTTGTAGATGAGGTTCCATTGATGGTCCCATTTTCTCAGGCATACGAAGGCCAGCTTCGCCGTAGGACTCGTGAGCCCTTCATGTTTTTCCGCCAGTACTTCGACATGGTAGCGGTGCACGAGGTAACTCAAAATACAGTCAATTTTTTTCACTTTTCAACTGTTTTGATTCATACATTAGCAATTGATAGTGACTAATCACCGGTTCAATTTCCTTTTCAGATCACATGGTAGCCTTGGGCCACGTTACAGACAGGGCTCCAAGCCTAGTACTGTGCGGCTTGGGGTATTTCCCGCTATCATATCCAACTTGAGGGTCGGATTTTTCGAGCCTGGTTCCTAGGCGAGCGCTTCGTGCACCAGACCATGGACCTGTCTGCTTCATTTATACCGATGGTACCGCTAGTATCCATGAGAGCGACAGACAAGCTATCTGCCAAAGAGGTGATTCAGTTCATGGTAGGCTTGGAGGTAGAGTATTTTCGTGTAGAGGGTGACTACACGGCCTTTATATAGACACACTTGATGCCGCCTCTGGCTGGTGTTTGCAGGGGTGAGGGAGTGAGAGCTCCTGCCACGAGAGCAAGATGCAGAGCGACCCGGGTGAGCAGAGCCCATGACAAAGGTGCTTCCCAGGCGAGGCAGGGGACCGGGTGGCCAGAGTTGGCTATTGCACTCGCATGTTGGCGGCATATTAGGGGGGCCTATCGGATCCCGATTGAGTCCACAACAATTGGGCATAGATACACCAGAGCCCATGATGCACCTCTGGTATGTACCACATTTTTAGTCTTCTCATCTCTTTCTAATATTTGTTTGTTCTAGACATTAATCATTCCTAATGCATTTACAGGCACCCCCAGGATGTACCGAGGATTTGCTTGAGCTACTAGCCTCATTTAAGGGCATGATATTAAGGAGGGAGGCACTGCTCGGTTTCCATGGCATTCAGGTAATTTCTTCAATTTTCTTACATTCCAGTCATCATATTTCCACTGACATACTGAAACTAACATATGAGAACTTCCCCACACTGCATTGATACACTACATCTGAAATACTACACTTCCATACTGTATTCATACTTTGTACCTGACTTCAGCATATACTTATTCTGCCCTATACTTGCATCTGATATGCATACTACGGCTGACATACGACAACTGTCTTTTTAGGTCCCATCCATGCCAAGTGCGCTAGCAGGAGTAGCACCAGGACCAGTAGTGCATCCTTCGGTGGCACGGAAAGAGAGGCAGGCTCCGGCACGCGGCCGGGCCAAGCTAGGGGCGCCCGAGCTGAGAGTGGCCCTTCAAAGCCTATTCTAAATGATGATGACGCCGAGAATAGCGAGGTCGAGGATGCGGCGAGTTAGAATGTTGAGTCATCCCAGAGTGGAGATGATGACGCTGGCTCAGATTCTGAGAGTGGGGATGCTGATGCTGAGGAGGGCTCCGAGGCGGAGAGTGGACACGGCTTTGGTTCAGACTTTGATCTAGATTCAGACAGTGGCACTGATGGAGACAGTGCCCCAGAATGCACTCCTCCGAGGAAGAGGACGAAGAGGGCCTCTAGATCCTGAGATGGATGGCGTTGATTTTTGTATTTTTGCTTAGTTTCTTTTGGTTAGTAGTGTTAGCACATTGTGTAGTTTCAGACAAGTTTTATTTTTTTTTAAAAACTTGTACTGCACCTTTTGTAAAAAATACTATGATCGGAAAGAAAACCAGTTTTCATTTGAAAAAGTGTTGTATTTTGCATCATGAGCACCGTATTGCATAAAACAAGAGTGAATTGGATAATGAAAACTGAATACTTGTATTGTCACAATAGTCTAAATCAGGTAACGAACCGACCAACAACTGACATTCTAAACACAACATACAACTCGATAACTGAAATAGTAACAATTCAATAGCAAGACAAGACAACTCGAGAAATAAAACAATAACTCGATAAAATTGTGAAAAGGAAACAAAAAGACTTAACACAAGACCTCAAGACACACAAGAAGTAGAGCAAAACACATGCATCCAACATTATTCTTCACAAAGGAGGATAGTAGGCATGAGAGGAAAGCTGTTAGCCATCTATACCTCTTGCCGGCCATCAATGTGCAGGACCTCCAAATTGTTGACACCTGGCTTCCACTCACTGCCTTATCTTCCACAAAAGGCTGAGCTTTGTGATTTCTTCATTTCAGTTGCAAATTATTCACAAATGGAATCAGGCTTTACGTAGTTCAGTTTCGGTTCACTCGAGTATTAACTCTCTCCTTTTACGCTTTAATTTTTGCCAAGGTCGCTCTTCCTGGGTTTTCAACCTTGCGAGCTCAGTTTTTCTTTTTTCCAATTTTTTGTGTTCTAACTTTTGCTTAGGTTGCCCTTTCGGGTTTCAACCTATAAGCCTCTCAAGGGTAATATTTCTTCAACTTGTCCTTGTTGATCGGTTGGGAAAATTCTAGGCCATCCAAGTGCATGAGAGTAACAGTTCCACTCGACTAGATAGTCTTGATAACGTAAGGACCAGTCCAATTGGGTCTGAACTTGCCCATAGGGTCATAGATGGGAGCTCGGTTATCATTCAATACCAAATCTCCTTCCTTAAGATTTTGAGACTTAACTTTCTTGTTAAAAGCCCTGGCAATCTTGGATTGATATCCTTGAACATGGTACAGTGCTTTCAGCCTTCTCTCATCAAACAGCATCAGTTCTTCGAACCTGCTCTTCTGCCAATCCGCTTCTACTATCTAACACTCAACCATAACCTGCAGCGACGGAACCTCTATTTCAATCGGCAGAATAGCTTCCATCCCATAAACAAGAGAGTACGGAGTTGCCCCAGTAGATGTCTGAATTGAAGTTCTGTAGCCCTAAAGAGCAAATGGCAATTTGTTTGGTCAGTCCCTGTAGGTCTCAACCATTTTATGCAAAATGTGCTTGATGTTCTTGTTAGTGGCCTCAACAACTCCGTTAGTTTACGGTCGATATGTAGATGACTTATGAAAAGTCACGTTGTATTTCTCCAACAAGTCGATCACTTCTTTCTTGAAGTGGAAGCCATTGTCTGAAATGATCTCATTTGGGACTCCATAATGGCAAATGA